GGACATTAGTACTTTTATGAAAACATTAACTAACATCACCAGTAGGAAAAATACCGGCGTGTGATCAGAGAGACCTACAAGGCTAGCTAGCTTCCTATTAAGTGAATTGTACCTACATCAGCTCAAAATTAACTCGCTCATCAGGAACCCTCGATAAGATATCGATGAAGTTCCAGACTAGAAAGAAGACTTTATATTGCTTGTAAGTTTGTGGAACTTTTGTTTATAAATCATTGTGTATAATAACTATTTGTAATAACCGTTATTGTAAATTGTATTGTTGTTTCTATATTAAAACATATTTGGGTTAGAAAATAAAACTGTGTGTATCAATCTTGTTGGCAAATATAATAAACTGACTATATATATCAGCTTTCATTTAACTGCTAAATCCAAAGTACAATTTAACTACTAAATTTAAAGTGCCATTTAGCTCGGTTTCAGACCATTCGAAATTCTAGTACATAATACTGGTAAAAAAAAATAAAAATAAAACAAAATACTGTATACCTGTACTAGAAACAATCTTGATTTAGCTGAATTTTCACTTGCAGAAATAATTTATTTACACTGGCATAAATCAACACAGAATTGTAAACACCTACAGAAAGAAGGCACATAGAGGAGATTTAACCATTTTGTACTCAGAAACAAGATGTGATTTATTATTCATACTGGTAGGTTTTTTGTTTGTGCCAAAACAATTAAGGCTATCTAATGCAATCTCTCATTTTGAATTGTCGACTAGCACACCTACCTCCAACTCTTGGGCTACTCTTTACCAATGAATATTTGGATTGACTGACTAGCAACACCCACCTCCAACTCTTGGGCTACTCTTTACCAATGAATATTTGGATTGACTGACTAGCAACACCCACCTCCAATTCTTGGGCTACTCTTTACCAATGAATATTTGGATTGACTGACACATTATAATTCCCCCATAGGTGAAAGGAAGAGCATGTTCAAAACCGTTTTTTCGTTCTGTGACCTGCAGATTGCATACTGAGAGCCCTAACCACCAGGCCATATATATTCAAAAGTTACAAATGCTCATTAATCCCACATAAAACTGTACATACAGTTATCTCTGGAAGCCTTTCTAGTACTACTAAATACAACTTCTTGTGCTCAGTCATTTTTATGTAAACTAATTTTTCTCAAACTGAGTTCCAACCTCTCATAGTCATAGTGGGTCTCAAGAATGGAAAGTTGAATCACAGTTTTCATATTTCTTTAACCTGAGAGTAAACTGTCTGTGTAGAAGTGTATTATCAAAACAAAAACAACATATGATTTAATAACATTAAGTCCACGAAAGAAGGTTCCAGTCCTAAAATATTTGAGAACTCCTGACATAAAGAATACATAAACAAGTTAACAATTATGTTTTAAAAGTTGAGTTTAAGTGGTTGGTCTTCTTTCTGAGGATAACAGCTCTCAAGAAACTATATGAAACATCATCAAAAAGAATAAATATTTAAAAACAATTATTCAAAAGCATGTATTTATAGAAATTTTTTACACTACAAAGAGACTCCCACTTTTCTATTAATATAACAAATTTCTTTTATTCATTTTTTTCCTGCTTAACCTGAATTTCATTAGGTATAGAAAATTTTGATTAAGGTAGTGATGAGGGCATCAAGAATTAACTGAAAAGTTTGTTTGATCTACTACAAAAATGCACTAAAAATTAAATCACAGATGCTAATGTTGATTTCATTCTTTATTATGTATCACATCAATTACAAAAATTTGTTAACTCTTTCAACATAGGCTCAGTCAATTTGACTGACCACGTGACCTTTTTGTACTCGTTTAAAGTCTTTATAGATTTAATACTTCTAACTTTTAATATAGTGTGTGTATCTTCACAAACTTTGGCAGTCTTTCAGTTAATATAATAAGTTTTTCACATACAAAAAATCATATTTTTAGTCAAGTATTTTCAATAAAATAAAATAAAGATTAGTACATAAATATATTGAGTATTTGTTTGGAATATTCCATGTGCAAAGTAATTTTCATGTTAAAATTAAAAATACTTTTCCTCATCTCAAAAATCTTAAATTTCCTTTGTGTAATCCCTAAAATCTCCTTAATTTCCTTTTAAAACGTTTTTTTTTTCAGTAACAATTTATAGTTTATCTGTTATTTTCTCTACCCTATCCCAAAACAGAGTTGGTCAATGCAACTGACATCATAACCACCAAAAAAACTAAATAAATCTAAATTGTAACATGAAACTACATTTGTTTATCCAAAGTAGCTATAACTTTGTAACAGTATACATCTATTTATAATTAAATTTTATTATCTTATTGCTCTTTGAACCATGTCTATTATCCATGTCATCATAAGTTGTAAATGACTCGAGGAATGTGCAGCTCCATTACACTAACAAATTACATTATCTACAAGCTGCTCGCATGTGTGCTTCATGAAACATTTTTATTATAATATTATTATTATTTATTTTACCTAATCTAATCTCAACTAACCTAAAATGATCCCTACTTTTACATTTTAGTTGCTTTTACATAAACAATAAACATGAAAAACAAAAATAAAATATTTAACCAATCTTCTTTTTTCTTGCTGTCAATTGATGAAGAGTGTTAACCCTAATTTTTTTATACTAATGATACCAATGCACTTAATAATTTTTATTTTGTTAAATAATGGACCAAACCACATAGACTAATAACATGCAAAAAGGTAGACAAATTCTTTTACCTCTCAAAATTTTTCTGGCTTTCTAGCTATGTGACAAGAGTTGTCATAATTTATCCAAGCTAGTCGTTAACTTTATCACGGAAAGGTTGTTGGTACTCTTGAGTGAAATTGAAATTTAACTGTTATACAATACATCATTTGATAGATGAAAACTTTGACTTTCTATTGATTGTAGGTAATATATAATTAAGCGTAAGAGAGAACTATTAACGAATTATAAAAGAGAGGATGTGATGGGGGGGCTGATTTTTTCATTGATAGTTTTGGAACCAAACAAAATTGAAGACATTAAAAATTATAGTTTGTCTGAGAAATGATGATTTTTGTAGAATAATTTACGTTTAATTTCGTACTTTTTCAAAGGGTGGTGGATAAAATAGGGAAGATCACACGCTAAAAGAAAATGTATCACGAGCCACACTAGTGGAAATTTAGGATTTTTTTAAATATTGCCTTGTAGAATTAAAAACTTAAAACATATATACTATTAAAATAGGGATTATTAGCTAAGATTTTATGCTATTCTAATTGGTATAACATAAACAAAAAGTGATTTAATAAAATTTTTAATGTAAGGCACTAAAATTTGTGTCATGCACAGTAAAGGATACCAGTGGTGATAGGGTTAATATATAATTTGACTTAAATTGTAGTGATGATATTTTTGCTTTCAGTTGTTAATATTATGCTCAGCTACTTCTGGTAAGCCAGATTGTATTTACATAAACTTTTGATCTCTGTCAAAATATTATAAAGTACTTTTTTTTTTAACTTGGCTCATTCTAGTTTATATACAGCAACAGGCATTATCAGACAATGTTATGTATGAGATGATGTGTGAACTTCTCATCCAATCATTGAAATTTTCTTGAGGTACTCATGTTTCCTTCATTCACAATATAGGCTGAAGCTAATATCTGTGTTACTGAGCAAAATGGCTGAGAGTGATATAAATTATTAATCAACATAAAATAAAAGTTAATATTAACCAATCTTCTAATTTTTTACTCAAAGTTCATGTAAATTTTAGCAATAATAACTGACAAAGATCACTTCAACTCAAATTTACAAAAATTACTCAATTATTTTAGGTATGTTCCCTTTGGCTTTATTAAAAGATAGGAAATAAATAATCAAATTGTCTTGAAATCATTCAGATGGTAACAAAATATTAAGTGGAAAAATATTTATATGGAGTCTCTTGAAGAGAAATAAACTTATGCAAATGAATAATTGGGTGTCCCTGTTGTTCTTTTGCAAGGTGGTTATGCATTTAGTTGATGAAAATAGAATATTTACCTTTATGTTCATTTTAAAATTGGTATAAAACAACCCCTAAACTTGGAAATACAAAAGGACATCCCACTAGTCTAATGTTATTACATACCAAGAACAATCAACACTGAATAGAATATTAAACCTATGTGCCAGAACCACCATCAGAACTTTATTTAGCCCAAAAATAAGTTAAAAATTTTAGAATATTTCTGACAAAACCAATGACAAATTCTATGAATATAACCACAAAACAATTCAGACTTATACAAGCCCTTTACTAAGTATTTTGTAATTATGAAGACATATATTGGAGATATAGAGTCACCCACAAAAACCTAATTTATGCTGCCTGTCTTTTTAAGACAAGTCAGTTGCAGCAAAACATGTAAATGTTGAACATTATTTATTCTACATTAATAACTATATTACTGATGAAGCAAATAATTAAAAATGAGTCTAACACTAACAAAAAGACATCAGACAAAAAAGTCCAAAAAATATCCACATACCTTTAACTTTACTTTCTAATAATTTAACTGGTTCAGTTTTTTCCTGATAGCTCCCAAATTCTTCTCTGGAGTCAACATGCCATCTTCCTAGAAAATAGAGGAATAAGGAAAAGAGATATAGCTACACTGATCACTGTATTATTGAAGTGTTGACCACATTTTCTACATCTTGTAAACACCTTAGATCAGTTTGATGAAAAGAGAAAAGATTTCTGTGTAGTATTGAGGAATTAAAAAAGTGTTAACTAAAATGCACAAAGTGAAGGATAACTGAAACTTAGAATAGTTTAGCCTATTATATGCCAAAATCACAGTTCAAAAATAATGTTAAACACTTCACTCCTCAGTCGATTTTTATGCAAATCAATTATCAGATGATCCACACAGTGATCTAGAATGAAAATGACTGGTCATTCAGCTTATGCTCATAAACAAGCATTTGTAAAGTTGGAATGACAGTTCTGGAATTGATACTCCAAGTTAAAAATAAATGTGTTAAAAGGTCAGTAATTATCCATAATCATTGTTCTGAAATGGTTGTTTTCAAGGCTACTTTAGTCATTGAAACCACCGAAGGAGAAAGTGATGTGCATGATGATAGGATGAGAGTCTAGTGAGCTTTTAGTCCACTCCATTGAATTAATTTCCTTTTCTTCAAAGAATATGCTGACCAGTTTATCATAAAAGAAGTGCAAGTCATTATCTTTTAGACTGAAGTCAAGGTCAAATTCCCCAATAGATAGCAGCACAAACTGTTGTAGGATATACTCTCTTTAACGTGTGGCATAAATGGTATCATTCTGCACAATGTAGAGATCAGTATTTCTACCAATGCTTACTCCTGCCACATCATACCTCCATCAGAGTTATACGAGTCATACTCCTGTGTGAAAATAGGTTTATATCTCATTCCAGGTAATTTTCAAATAAGTATATACCTGTACCTGGCTGTAAGAAAATGTCTTGCCTGTAAAAAGAGCATTGATTTACATGGCATATGAATGTCTAACTTACAGGTACTTCATAAGTTTTGAACAGTCTTGAACAACTCGACTTTCAAGATCTACGTATCTACATGTGCGGATGTTTCTATTTACCAACGCTATATTTTAAGATCTGTGCAAGAACTCAGCTAACATATGTTTCCGCATATAAAACCTATCTTCAAATAAATGTTTATGTACAGGGTAATTTAGATGGCAAAAAACATTAAGAAATGTAGAGATATAGTAAAATAATTGTTAATAGTCTGGAGTGAGGTTTGTAGGCCCACTTTGTAACACTGTGAGGTCATTCAAGGTCATGCACTTTGAAAATGTATTTCTTATAGGTAATTACTATTCTTGTTTAGTGCTGCCCTCTATATGCAAATTGTTTTTTTTGCGTGCCACAAGCCTTGAGCTCCCACATACCCCAATATCAATGTGGTTCAACAGCGTCTCACATGCAAGTCATCATGCGACAACCCTCCACCAATAGGAGTACAACATATCCTCCTCATGCATGTGACTCCCTCTATTTGATTCTACCAAATCATCACTTCTAGTTTTGTCAGAAAATGGAAGCACCAGCACAATAACATCCTCAGTATAAGAAAATCATCAAGAGATAGCGTAAGAGGAAGAACTGTATTAATCTGCAAATTCCACCACTGTGACCCACAACACAGGTGGGGGGAACAAGAGTATTATTGAGTGAGGAAACAGAGACATCTATAATACAAGTGTGAGGACTTATGTTGATTGGTCCAACTCTGAATCCAAGACCCAGTTATTGGGAACTGACATACATGTAGGAGTAGGATGAGAGATCCCAACTGAAGGGGTGAACTGCATTTATGACTACTCACTCCAAAGCTACAACATTCCCATAGATACACCCATACAGAGATGGAGCATCAGAATGGAGGACATCTTGTCATCTATACCAGCAGAACACCAATGCCTTACTCTCAACTGAATGGTTTTATCATTATTTGTATCGTATATCATTAATAAATTCAGAAGGATGCCTCCATGGTCCACCACCCCCAGTGGCTTGGAACTGGAAAGTGGTAAAGACTCCCATATTCTACTGGAAGAGAAAGGGGAGAGAAAATGCGGTGGAGAGTCCAGAGGAATGTCAACAACAGAGACAGTACAATGAGAGACAATGAAAACCCTATTCTGAAAAGCAAACCACTCCTGATTTATTAAATCTAAGGAATGGCAGGGATGGGTAGCTATCCCCTTCTGCTTTACCCATGAAGTCCATGGGTTAATATGGTCCGGAATGGTATACAAATGAAGCAAATATATCATGAAGAAAACCTATGAATGATCTTGTAGAACACCCTCATCTCACCAATGTTCATTTAGTAGCTATGGAAATTATAATTGTTATGTCAACATGGCCTTACAGTGCAAATTTGAATATTTTAAGTAAACCTGGGCAAGCACCACTCCCCAAAGAACAGGATCCATAAAGAAAAAAAGGATCATGTCCCTGAAAAATAAGAGGTATGTTACCCATTCACATTCTCACTGAAGAGTGAAGGATGACGACAGGTGGAAACAGCTACCTAAAGCAAATAATTGGAGATAAACATATAAGGTGTTGTCCTAGTGCTCAATGGAAGAAGTACCTCCAACATACAATGAGGGTGAGATGTAGGTAAAAGGAAAGGTGCCTAATCAGAGTGAAGACACCAGGAAAAAGGAAACATGGGGGAAAAGGAGACAAGGAAGTAAAGGTTAATTGAATTAAAAGCCAAATCCAAAGGGTATGGGAGGAAGGAAAACGTCAAAAACAGAGGAGTGGTGCCAGGTAATGAAACAGCATAAAAAGGAACCAACAGAAAGAAGCCATGAAGTGGATGTATGAAATCACCCGGGGAAGATGATGATTGGTATGAGAAAATAAAGTATATACAGGTCTCAATCCTGTTAGAATGCATCCACAGCCAAGACAAGTGGATGAGGAAATGAAGACAAAGATGTACAGATCTGAAACAAGTTCAAAGGGCAAGGCATGAAACTAGCACCCAACCTCATTGAGAACAAACTTAAGACAGCACCACGAGGGATTAAAAATAGGTATGTGGGCATAAGAATACAAAATGTTGACCATGGGCATCATCAGTCCTGGATAAAAGGCCCACCATTGTGTGATAAAAGACAATATAGGAAAAAGAGAGAGAACCAAGAAGTGATTGAGGTTAGACAGATCAATCACAGAGCTCCAATCTGCATCAATAATACATGACTAATGGAGGAACTCTTAGGTGTAGGACAGGTAAATGACAGGAAGGTGCCAGACGTGGAACATGTATAAAGTATGCAATGGCCAAAGAGACAAACAAGCAAACAAAAAAAAAAAACAAGAAAAATCAAATATAGCAATACATATACAAGTCACAGGAAAAATACCCCTAAAAAAATGGATCAGTGGAGGAAAAGAGCCGTACATAAGTCCCAATTATAGATGGAAAGGAAAATAACTTGGCACAAGACAATTTCCCACTCCAGAAGATCCCAAAAGCAACGAAATCACGTTTGTTTGTAGGGAAAGAGCCGAAGATGGCAATCACCCCAACATAGAGGTAAGGAGAAGGAAGGTATCCCATGAAAATCCCCAACAAATAGATGGAATGCCTCAGAGGTGTATGGCAGCTAATACAAGTGGGAGAGGTGATAGGGGAAGATGAAGGCTGGAAACCTGACTAGGAAGAAAGGGATAGGGTTAACAAATTCTGCCTCCCTGAGAACAACTAGTTTAAAAAAAAATTAACAGTAATAGGTTAAAAAAACATTTCTCTAAAGCCTAAAAGAGCTAAAGATGATTTGATTAAGTTTAGAATTAGAAAAATTGCTTATGGGATACCTGTTTGAATGGTGGAATGATAAGATTAGAAATAACAACTTAAATATCAGGGACAACAAGTTTTAGCTTTGAAAGCTGAAATCCAGACTTAAGTAAAATACTTATCATGTTGAGAACTGGCTTACCTAATGATGATGTGTGAGAGCTAGTTTTCATTTATATATAAGTTGATCTTGGATGCAGAAAGTTATATTTTGATTGAATGATTGCTTTAGTGGTTTTAATGGCTGCAGAGATGGCCCTGTTCTGTCAAATGGCTTTCTATCACCATGCTCCTTCTTAGGTTCTTAAACAGTTTCATAAGCAAATAATTCCTCAGCCTCAAAAAGATCTAACTCAAATTAAGGTAATGTACATTACATTTTGCAATATCTTACACACAATATAAATATGAGCCAAGTTCCTATAACATCTATCTTAAGTAATATTAACACGCATCACCATATACATTACTGTGCTAGCTGTTCCTTGGCTTGATGTAGACCCTGTGGGAGAGGCCAGTTCTGAGGTAGATCTTCTTGAACTCTTATGGTTCTTTGATAGTACGTTTGCTGGAGAGGCTAAATGATTGCATGTTAGAGGAAGTGAAGCATCTTTTGATAAACTGCTTTCTGAAGATAAAAGAAAAATCAGAGCTTAAAAGTTAATAAATAGCAAAATTTGTAAATTGAAATAGAAGATTTCAATAAATGACAAAATCTTCAAAAACAGTTGTCTTAGAAGTATGAAATAAATAGCAAGTCAGAGCTTGTGATAATTGAATGGAGAGTAAATAGCACAGGGAAAATGCACTTTTCTGTTCTGAAACAAGAACACAATAATTTAAATTGTTCTCAAAGTTAAAATAAATTGTAGGTTGAACCATTACATAGTTGGTTGATCTCATAACCATGAAACCATACATACTACAACACTGGAAGTACGAAGTGTAATTTAACAGAACTTAGTGAGCTTTTATTAGACATTGCAAATCTATTGTACACAAAAATTCAGATTTTTTAGTAAAGTATTTTAACTATGGATTTGTATGTGAATTGAGTTATGAAGCCTTTTCTAAGTCCAAGGTGATTTTAATGCTGAAAATAAAATACTTATTTTCATCTTACAATTTTAATATTTCAGTTGCATAACCTGAATGAATATTTTATCTTTACAATTTATCTCTTATTTTCTATATCCTAACATTAACTGTAGCAAAATCATCAATGTTCAATTAAGTGAAAAGTTCAAAAGTATGATAAAAATTAATAATACATTTTTTTCTTCATTTTTGAATGCATAATTTGTCTCACAATTTTAAAATTACTTATCCTCACAATTTCAACTGTTATCCTTTTCTTATCTGTATTCTTTTCATTTTATGATTTTGTTGCCCTACTTTGTATCTACTGGAGCAGTAATCTTAGCGTCAAGAGCCCATTAGCTGTTTTCCACAGAGCTTGTGATCTTTTCACTCATGATGTAACTGCAATAAGCCTCAGTGAATCTTACATATTTGGGTTCCACAAAATGAATTCATGTAGCTTTTAAAAAGTGGAGGAATCATAGGAAAAAAAAGTAACATACCCGGTTTATTAACTCCAGTAAAGGAAGAAGCCTGGGTGCTTTCACTGGAGTTAAATCTGACTGTGTAGCATAGGAAGGGGGAGGAAACAGGCTGTCCAAATCTTTGTCCTCTTGTTCAGGTACTCCTGAACATGGCAGGAGAAGATAATCTAAAGGCAAATCAGGAGCCTGCATGAAGGTAACCAACTCCTGGCAAACCAAGGCCATAACATCTTCCACCAATAATTGCGGACCCGAAGCCACTGTAGTCGAAGTAAGGTTAGCTGCAGCAGGAAAAGCAGTAGTAGTAGTTGTAACATGAAACTCAGAATTCATTGCAACTATGAGTGGAAATAGAAAAGTCTGGATAGGGAGCTCCAAAGAATCATGTATTAGAATAAAAGACATGTCATGTAACATGTACAAACTAAAATTTCAGAACACAAGTGAAGCAAATATAAAGAAAAATTAAGTTCTCATAAAAAAAACAAGGAACTGATTGAAAATTCCATAAAAGAAAGCAAGAACGAAAAACACTTCTTATCACCACGAGTGCCAATCAAGAAGTGAAATTGGGATAAGCTACATAGAGGGAGTCAGCTGTGTTAGGAGTTGTGTCACACTCCTATTGGAGAACAGTTGTCACATGCTCATTTGCATGCTATCATGTAGCTGTCTCATGTGAAAACACGAGTGTAGGTGGGAGTATCATGGCGAATGGCAAGCAAAAGTTTGCACATATAGAGGGCAGTACAAGATGGGAAAAGCTATTCTGTGAGAGGAGTAAGATATATCAGAATGCATATTTGAAAGCTACAAACTATTTTTAGAGAGCAAGCATAATGAGAAAAAGTTTACTAAACCATGCATGCAAGTGCAAAAGGTCTTATGGCTATATTTCTTGTTTTTATGTATTGTTGCATATTTTTAAACAAAGTAATAACTAACAGATAAAAATTAGAAACTTAATAGGTTAGATAAGAAAGCTTAAATGTAAGAAAAATTAATTAACAAATTCTTAAGATCTCTCTTGTAGGAATGTACTAGAACTGCCACCTCATAATGTAACTTGATAGCCCTAAGTTCTTGCCCAGTTGATTTATTGCTTTGTTACACTACTTAGACATGATTCAACATACAATACAATTAAATTAATGTAGTTAGAATAAATATTTAGAATTGTCTGTATAATCTGCAGTCATTCTATTAATTCTATTTCATATTTTTCAACTTTTAATTGACTGTACATTGACGATTTTGCTACAGTCAGTATTAGGGTAGAGAAAACAAAAGTTTTACAAACAATAAACGTTTTTTTATATATTCATATATGAGATTCTAGTGGTTATGAAATATGAAAACTGTAAAATCAAGAGAAGTATTTTACAATATAATTGTTATGTTTAGTAAAAGCTTGCAAAATGTCATGAAGACATACTTAGTACACTCAGTTATAATGTGTATAATTTCATAGTTACAAGGTGGTTAAAAAATCAGTCAAATTGACTGAGCTTAACTACATTTGGCTAATATCATGATAGTTACAACTATCCAAGTAATTGAAATATGATAATGATTTCTCATCATTATTTTCGATTAACTCAAGGTTGTTAATCAATTAGTATTGACTAACCAAAATAATCAAAAGAGAAAGTATAAATTTATAACTAAATATTATTTACAATGTGTTTATTTCTATAATTAAACCAAACATATGACACTACTCAGGTTATTATATACCACTGCTTGAAAGACATCAACAAATGTCTGGATGAAGCTTCAGTTTATAAACATAAGAGTTGTTCAAGTTTTATAATATTGCAATTAAAAACTTGAAAATATTTTTTGTTAAGAAAATATGACAAACCTGACTCCTTCTGACTGCAGGAAGGTGTAGTATTGGACGATGAGATTGAGCTTTTTCCAACTACTGACATATTATTTGCTGATCCAGATAGGGAACTGCTAAGAGCTGCAATATTACTGGCAGATCCTGTAGCTGTCAACACTTTTGGTAATTCACCAGGATTCTCTTCTTCCAGTTTTTTCTTCAACTTAGCAAACATGATTGCAGTTCTACGAGTCTGAGAAGCCAACGATTCCACAAACACTTTACTCTCCTTCAATATTAAGTTACTATTTTTATACCACTTTCTTAAAAATGCTCTCAGTCATAGCAAAGCATTCTAAAGAAAACAAGGTGCAAATCTTGTTATGAAGAATATTCTGGATTAAATTAGAAAATAAAAGTTGTTTTTCTCTCTCTCTCTCTACAATATATCACAGTGAACATATTTAACTTTTGGAAAAAAATTATATAACTGCTAAGGCATTTCCAACCTTTTTTTTTGTAAAATCCATAACCATTGTATCTAACCTTTACAATGAGCTTTTACATTGAAAATGGCATTTAGATGTTCAATGTCCAAGTTAAAATAAGTTATGACTTTTGAAAGTTAACATCTTCGTAAACTGAAAATGAGTTTCAGAATAGATACTTACCCCTCTCACAAAAAGCTTTCTTGATTAGTACTGCCCTCTATTGGTACAAATTTTTGATTCCTCGCTAGCCTTGTAACTACAACTTCTTTCTGCATATCTACATGCAAAGGATCATGCAGCATCCCTCTGCAAATAGGAGTGTGACACTACCCCTATCTTAACTAGTGCCCTCTATAATAATTCACCTGTTAATCACTTTGAGATTGGCCATGACTAAGTAAACCAATACACCAGAAGTGGGGATGACAGGTGGGAAATGTCAGCGAAGGTAAATATTTTTTCAGAAATACATTTTTAATTGAGGAAAATGTTAACTTCTGATATGATATCCTACATCCTCTCACAAAAAGCTAGAATCCCACACTGAACTGGTGGAGGGCTAGTGAGATGATGATCTTCCTTCAGAAAGTACGCAACGAAAGACCATGTGGTGTGGAAGACAAATTAAAAACACCAGTGGGAGACCGCACCACTTCTGAGCTAGATATACCCTTCATCCTTGAGTAAAGTGTCACTAAAACAATAGGGCAGAAACATGGATGGACCACATAACGGTTTCATTATTAATGGGACTTGAGGTGTTGAGTGCCTAGGGCACGACAAACTATGAATGGGAGTTTTACCTCAACCAACACTTGACAGCATCTGGAATTGTACATCAGGTCCACAGTAGGAAGAGGGTCCTCTACCCTTCACTTCAAAAACAAGTATTGAGAGGGAAGATGAACTTCCATACCAAGACCCCATTTCTGCATGTGCACATTTCCAACACAACCAACACTGGGTACCAACATCCAGCAGATGGTAAGAAGTAAGGAGAACTCAGAAAACATTCATCTCCAGTTCAAAACCTGGCTGCATTGGGAATATCTTGTCCTGTACACAGTGGAAACAGGGAACCTAGCCTTACATATGTGGGGATTCGTGCATTTTGTCCAGCTTCAAATAACACCAGATCCACTGGAACAGACATTCAGCAGAGAGGAGGAAGATGAAGGATGGCCTTAATTTGGGGGTTGTATCTACAGTCTAAAACCTGGCAGTATTGGGAATTTATTGTCCAGTCCATGATAGAAGATGGGTACCAACCAAACACATGAACAGTTATGTGGCTAGATCATCTCCAGCACCTGATCCAACAGGGAATTGACATCTGGAGGATGGTTTTAATGAGGAATATCTCAGCCAGAAGGGTAAACTGCAACACACAGATATATGGTGGAGTGCTACAACCAACATCTGATGGCATCTGGAACTGTACATCAGATCCATGGTACGAAGGGTTTCATGCCATCAATCCCAGCAGAATGCCATCATCCTAGTCTCAACTGAGTGGAATTGTGCTTCATTCAGGAGGATTGGCTTCCAAGATCCACCACCTCAGCAGCTAGAAATTAGTAAGTGGCAAGAACTCCCATACTTCACTAGATGAAAAGGGGGAGAAAATGCATTGAAGAGTCTGGAGGCCTGCAGCACTGAAGACGGTGCAATGGGTGTCTGTGATACACTGTCTTGAAAAGCAGAGCTACCACATGGACAGAGATGATAAACCAACATCTAAAATTGTACATCAGGTCTGTGGTAGGAAGAAACTCAATGCCACGAAGCATCAGAGACATACAGTAATCCCTGTCTGCTTTACTCAAGATGTCCATGAGTGTACAGTATAGGACAAATATATTTATGAAACCAAAGACCACAAGATATATCTACGATTGATCATACGGAACACTTCATTTCAACAGTGTGCATAATATGACCTGGTGATGTGTTATATTGTTTCAAGTATAATATGTGATATTGATGCATGGATGACAACTGGACCGAGTCAAACAACCAACATCTGGCAGTGTCTGGAATTGTATGTAAGGTCTGCAGTAGGAAGCTCCTCAATGTTATGGTCATCTAGTATGATCAAAAGACATTGAGTGCAGATTTGATACTAATTATACCTGGTCAGGCACCACTCACTACAGAGATGGATCTAAAACATATGTAGCAAAAGACCCCTGTAAAGAAATTAAAAACTAATGGAACAGCCAGTATACCCACCTCTCATGAAAGAAGGAAAAAGAACAGGCAGGGCCATGGTAAGGTGCCAGATCTGACATGAAAAACACAAAAAGATGACAAACATCCAGAGAAAAGGAAGAATACACCAAGTGAAGGGACTGGCAAATTCAACCCATAAGGGGAGTAGGGGGAAAAAATCACAAGAAAGGGTAGGATTCCTATGAAGAAACAAATTGACCCGGAAACTACCAAAGAACACAGTTAATGTATCAGAAATCCAAGGGCACTGGCCAGGCAAAGAAATCAGACAGGAGCAGAATAGACCTAGAGGTGGAAAAGAAGGGAATGGAAAGGTGAGTGAAAACATAATTAATCTCCAGAGTAGCCAAAATCAAGAGCATAAAGGAAGGGACAGGAATTAAGGAACAAACATAGCAAAATCTTATCACAAAACATGTTGGAAAAATGGTGACCATGGGCTAACAATATGAGGAACAGGGACAGAAAGTCAAATCAAATAATGAATCAGTCGACAAAGATTAAAATGGACAATTATAAAAAGCACAAAGGCTAAGTAACATGGAGGTTCCAAATCTTGGAGAGAACCTGAGCAGGGAGTACGAGCAATGGAGAATGAACAAAATAACATAGCCAGGAAACAATAATATAAAACAGAAGCAAAACTGGGAAATTTAAAATGGAAGACAAAAACTGCCTAAAAGCCTGCAACAGAGCAAACAGATAGGTTCCTGGAAGAAAGCTAAGTGAAAGAAGACAGCATGAGGAATGGGAGTAATGAAAGGATGATATCCTAGGTGTAGAGATCAAAAATGTGATGTATATCAACTACTCTGATAAAATGTCAAAGAGAAAGGATGAACTAGATGGGAAAACCAAGGAAGCAATATGCTTGCAAAGACAAAGGCAGATGAAAGGGATGCAACATCAAAAAACCATTACAGAAATGGAAACTATGTGAGAGTCAATCAAGACAGTGCCACCAGCAGAATTCATTGAGAGATTGCAACTATTGAGAGAACACAAGGAAGAAGATGAATAGGTGGACATGTATAGGGGGAACAACTTGTCCAATCCCAACAAAGAGCATCCACTGCACCCACCAAGGAATGAGGAACAGGAGACCAAAAACAGGTAATATGTGTATCGAGATGAGATGAAAAACATCCAAATTGGGGACACCCCAGGATATAGAGGATTCTGTCAGGACAGGATAACCAATCCATGACCAGATTCATGGCCTCCTGATGACAACATGCCCACCAATCAATATAATGACAGTGGGTCCAAAATACAGGAGATCCAAAGTTCAAAAACAAAGGACACTTGGCCAGATATCCCCATGCATAGTGATGGAAAACCCTACTGTAGAATTGTCAGAGTGAAACATCACCACCTTGTCCCAAAGAACCAGTAGGAAAGAAAGTACTGTCTGAAGAAGAGCAAGATGTGTAAGAGAGAGATATGGAGTGGAGTTGAAAAAGGGTTCCCCACCCCGACTAACCCAAGTGTCAAGAGATGCTTCCAAAATGGAAAAAGAATCATCTGAAAAAGTGACAATCCAGATGAGGAGAAGTAAGAGGAAACCCAGCAGCAATAGAGGTCCTATCTAATCAACAGTCAATACAGACTGCTAGTAAGGTGAAAGGATAAGAGGGGCATCCAAGGGATCCTGAACAAGACAGCATCTGGTGATCCAAATACTCACAGAATATGGTGCATGTTGGCACAACCAAGAAGAATGAGGGCTGCAAGAGAAGCCCATGTTCCCAATGAGAAAGAACTGCATATGCAATAAGGAAAGGGAGAAGATGAGAAACCACCTAAAGGACATACCAGAGCTCTAAACCAAAGGGGAGAAGGTTGGTCCCAACCAAGAATTGAGATGAAAATCACACTAAGAAAACTAGAAATTGATCAGGTGTGATGAATGAAATCATCACCATGATAAACCAACCCACACGGGCAGCATCCTAAAGGAACTGAGTATGGAGAGTAGATATGGCCAGTGAGGAAGCTATAAGTATCCAGCCATCCCTGGCAAAGTGTACACTAAGCTCAGGGAAAGAAGCAGATGAGCAAAGGTCTAGACCACTCAGCTGAACAAAGATGGAGCCAAGGCAAGGCCGAACATAAGCACCCTAAACTGAAAACAACACAAACCAGTGAAGAACAAAAAAGAAAAATGTTTGAATGCCAGGGAAACAGAAATATAGAGACACGTATCAGATACATATACCTATGTCCTCCACAAAACAGGAGTGAAAATCCCTAATGAGAATGATCTCCTCACAGAAGGGACCCTGGAGAAGTAAGACCCGAGCTACTTCTGACTGAAGCTGAGAAAAAATGAAAGTGTGAGTGAAATAAAGTAGATGATGATATAACATGGGGGGGGGGGCAGTGGAAATGGAGTTATGGAGACTTGCTGAAACAACCCCATGTCTCCAAGTAGGTAGGAAGACCCCCAACATCCCGTGATAGAATACAAAATATGGCATGCACAAAATAAAGACAAGGGTAAAAGAACCCTAAAGAAAACAGGATCCCAACCTAGAAGAACCCATTCAGACACACCTAGGTGCTGGTATGACAGGCTACTCCACATTATACAGAATGTTGCCAAAAATGGTACAATTCCCAACAGAACAAAGTCATCATACCTGTGGCTGACAACTGTGTTATTGCCCCTGTAATACAAATGGGAAATCTGCCTTAGCAGCAACATCAGTGGTAGTCATGACCACCTGAACTGTGAGTGCATAACTCACAAAGTCAAAAAAT